CTGCGGCCGCAGAGCCCTCCCCCCCCCCAGTCAGAGAGGTCGTGGCGACTTCCTCCTCGCTGGTCCTCGTCCCGCCTCGTCCTCGTCCTCCTTCTCCTCCCTCCTCCTCCTCCTCCTCCTTTCCTCCTCCTCCTTTTTTCCCTCCTCCTCCTTCTCCTCCTCCTCCTCCTTCTCCTCCTCCTTTTCCCTTTCCTCCTCCTCATCCTCCTCCTCCTCCTCCTCCTCCTCCTCCTTGTCCTCCTCCTGCTCCTCCTCCTCCTCCCCCCCCCCTCCTCGCAGGCCTTCCAGAAAAACGGAATCGGCGGAACGGGGCTGCGCGCCATCGAGGTGCAGCAAGGTACCACGACGCAAAACGAGGAGGAGGAGGAGGAGGAGGAGGAGGAGGAGGAGGAGGCACACGGGAGACGGGCGAACGAGGAGAAACAGCAGCAGCAGCAGCAGCAGCAGCAGCAGCAGCAGCAGCAGCAGCAGCAGCAGCAGCAGCAGCAGCAGCAGCAGTAGCAGGACGAGAAGCACATGTAGAAGGATGATCGCGCCGCAACCATGCATCCTCGTATATCTCTCTCTCATTGTCCTTCCATCCCTCCCCCTCTCTCTCCCCTCTCTCTCTCTTTCCCCCTCCTTTGTCTCTCTCCCCTCTCTCTCTCTCTCTCCCCCGCCTTTGTCTCTCTCTCTCTCTCTCTGTTCCTCACGTCTCGGCCAACTCGGCGCCGCATGAAGGACGGCGGCGACCACGACGGCGGCGGTGACGGCGGCGGCGGCGGCGCAACTGCGAGGCCGCAGGAGGCCGCCTTGCCGGGCTTCCTCAGGACGATCCCGACGTCCGGAGGAGGGCCCGCTAGGACAGCGGCGGGCCTCCCGCCGCGACGGGGCGGCGAAACCTGCGCACACCCCAGGAGGGCTCCTGGCCGGCCCCGTCCTGGGCCAGAGGACCAGCGATGTCGGTGCCGCTTCGTCTGATGGGCACGTTTTCCACCGCGGCTGCCATATGCAGGGCGGGGGAGGAGGGAGGATGAGGAGGTCCTCCTCCTCCTCCTCCTCCTCCTCCTCCTCCTCCTCCTCCTCCTCCTCCTCCTCCGGCGTCCTCGGCCTCCTCCTCCTCCTCCTCCATTTCCTCCTCCTCCTCCTCCTCCTCCTCCTCCTCCTCCTCCTCCTCGCTCTCCTACCTATGGTAGTGGTGGTGAGAAATGGGCCCATCATCCTCCCCTCCCCGCGGACCTCTCCCAATGCGCTCCCGGTGCGCGCTCTGACCAAGACTTCGGGGCAGAACCAGCCGTGGCGGCACGGAACGGGCCGCGGCATCGGCTCGCTTTTTCTCCTCTGCTGGAGCGGGCCGCCGCTGTCTCGGGGCCCTCCTCCGAGAAGTGCAGCGTGCCCTCGGGCTTCCGCTTCCTCGTGCGGCTGCGCGCGCGCACGAGCGCGGCGGCGGCGGCGGCGACGATGACGATGACGATGACGACGATGACGACGACGACGACGACGACGACGACGACGACGACGACGACGACGACAACGACGACGACGACGACGACGACGACGACGACGACGACGACGACGACGACGACGACCCTACGGCGACGACGACGACGACCCCATGACGACGACGACGATGACGACGACGACCCCACCACGGCGACGACCCCACGGCGACGACCCCACGGCGACGGCGACGACGACGACGACGACGACGACGACGACTACGACCGCCTTCGTGCTTCGCGCGCACGCGCGCGCCTTTGCTGTGCGCGCCTGCGCTGCGCGCGCCTGCGCCGCGCGCGCCTTCGCTGCACCGTTCCTGGCGCGCTCCGCGTGCAAGGAGCACGCGGGCCCAGGCTCGAGCCAAGATCCCGCGCGGGCCTTCGAAGGCTTATGCCTATGGCATCTGTGTTTTCTGCTACAGCCGGCAAGTGTTTTGTTGTGTGTGTGTGCTTCGGTGTTTTCTTGTGTGCGTGTGTTTTTGGAAGTCTTTTTTTTTTTTATTATTATTTTGTGTGTTTCCTAATACAGCCAGAACTCTGATCTGGGATACCTGGGACATCTTCCCGGAGGACTCTCTCAAACACAAGCCCGGGCCAACGCCTGCCGTTGACGCTGACGCTGGCGACCGTGCTCAAGAGACTGGGCCATCTCTCCCCAGCACGCTGGTTGAGAAGCGCCGGCCCAGCTTTTCGGGAGGAGGCTTCTTCACCGGCTGCTCGACTGCCATTCCTCTTCGAGGCCGCGGCTCTGTGGATCTGGCGCGGAGAGCCGTGGCTCCCCCGGGGATCGGGGCAAGGCCCCCCGCCCCCCGAGCACGAGGCCAACACGACCCGGCCTGGCCACGGAGCGCGCCGACCCCGTACGGAAACGAGGCCCGTCGCTGATCCACGCGCCTCAACTCGTCGTGCCCTCGGGGGCAGCTCTCGGGCAACAGCTCGGGTCCCCATCGGGGGCGGCCACGAGGGGGGCGTCCAAGAGGGGGGGGGGGGGGCGCGGCGCAAACCATGGCCGGCGGCATGTGCGCGGCCCGGGGGGGGGGGGGCCAAGAACGCAATGGAATAAGAAGAGGCGCCATGGAATCTGAGGAACTAGGGGGGGGGCCAGGAACGCAATGGAACAAGAAGAGGCGCCATGGAATCTGAGGAACTATCATGGCCCACGCCGTGAGATCACCCCCCCTTGTCATCACCCTCCTCCTGGCCGCCCCCGGCCCCAGCGGCCGTGCGGGACGGCCCGGGCAGCCCCGGAAAGAGGCGCTCGGCGAGGCGCAGCTGCAGGAGGGCCCCCCCCGGGGCCAGGGGAGCCCCCCCCCCCCCGAGGAGCCCACGAGGACGCCCTAAAGCCTCGAGCACTTCAGGACACGCCGCCTCGCGCGCCGCCTCGCGCGCCGCCGCGCGCTGCGCGCTGCGCGCGTTCCGCGGCCAGAGGCTCCTCGGGGGCGTCTTCGTGGCGGTGCGCCGTTCGGGGCGCGCGCGCGCGCGCGTGCTCGGGCGCGAGGTGCGGAGTGCGATCGCCGACGGCGGCAGCAAAAGGCGACGGCAAAAGGCGCAGGCGACGCAGGCGACTGCAACAGCGACGGGGCGGCGAGGGATCCTCCTCCGCCTCGTCCTCCTCCTCATCCTCCCCATCCCCCTCCTCTTCCTCTTCCTCCTCCTCCTCCTCCTCCTCCTCCTCCTCCTCCTCCTCCTCCTCCCCCTCGTCCTCTTACTCCTCCTCCTCCTCCTCTTCCTCCTCCTCCTCTTCCTCCTCCTCCTTCTCCGCTGCGCCTCCTCGTGCAGACTTCTCCTTAGCGTCTCGGCTTCCTTATGCCTCATCGTCCTCCCTCCTCCTCAAAACAAGACCAGGCAACACCAGGAAGGCAGTCCAGAGAAGCAAGATCAAGCAATCCGAGGACGCCAGTCGAGAAGCTTAGACTGAGCAGCCCGAGGATTGCAGTCAAGAGACAAGAGCAAGAGAGTTTTCACTTCACGACGCGAGGGGGTCTGGGCTTTTGTTCTTCGACCAGGGAAAGGACCGGAAGGTCCGAAGGCGCCGACCTTCGGAGGCCTCTGCGTTGACACAGCGCCCGGCGTTGAGCAGGGACCGACCGCTCCGGCATTCTCATAGGCCTACCTCGACATGTTCTTAAAACCCAGACATGTTCCAATAACGAAAACAATGTTCTTAGAACGTAAGCCCGACGTGTTAAAACAAGACAGCCCCGGCCAGAAATGTTCTAAGAACATGTCGTGCAAACCACAAGAGGTTCTTAACATATTCCTTGGTAGGCCTATCGGCGAGCCAGGACGGTGCTTCGCTACTGCTTCACGGCGAGGCCCTGCCCCCCCTCTGCGCCGGGCCGGTTCGTGCCGTGAAGGCCTGCGCGGCGGACGCTGCGTGGCAGGGACGGACCTGAGCAGTGTTTTTCGTTGTCGTTTAGTATTCGCTTTCGCTTTGCTTTCGAAGAGGAGGGGAAGGGGGGGGGAGGAGGAGGAGGAGGAGGAGGAGGAGGAGGAGGAGAGGAGGAGGAGGAGGAGGAGGAGGAGGAGGAGGAGGAGAAGGAAAAAGAGGAGGAGGAGGTTAAAGTAGCCAGAGGAGGAGAAGGAGGAAAAGGAGGAGGAGACCAGTGTAAACCCAAGAGTAATCAACGATGTTGGAGTAACCGCGCCCTCCAAGCTCCCGCTTCATAGGCCCCTACAACGGATCACTTCCACGGAGGGAATTGAAGACAACCGTTGCAATTGAAACATGCCAAAACATTGTTCTCGGGATTCCAACGCCACGGATCATCTTGACTGTTTCGTCTTGACGTTCCTGAATCCTGGGGCTTCAACACCGCGAATCAATATTAGTGTTGCACCCTCATCGACCTGAGCACTTCTGGAATACTGTTTCTGGTACGCTGATCATGGGAATCCATGAAGCCCCTGCAAATGTTAGAAACAAATGCGCGCGGCGCTGAAACTAGAACCACACTTGAAAAGGAGCCGCCTTCAATCCGTGAGCCTCTTGCAACTCTTTAAACGAATGTGCGCGGCGCTAGGCGCTAGGGCGAGAGCCACGGTTTGAAAACGATTCGCCCTCAATCCGCGAAGCTCCTGCAAGCGTAAACAAAAACATGTGCGCGGCGCTTCCGCGACAGTCACATTTTGAAAACGACGCGTCCTCCATCTGTGATGCTGTTGCCATGTTTGAAGTTTTTTTAAAGCTTCACTGTCATAAATAATCAAGAGGTCTCAGGCGAAACGCCCGGTCGGCCCTAACAACTGGCCTCGGGGTGCGCCAAGGAGACATTATGTATAAGGAATGGAGGAGGAGGAGGAGGAGGAGGAGGAGGAGGAGGAGGAGGAGGAGGAGGAGGAGGAGGAGGAGGAGGAGGAGGACGGGGAGGAGGAGGATCCCTCCCTCTTCCCTCCTTCATGCACCTTCGCTTCGGCTCAAATGGAAGGGCCTCGGCCTGCTTCTGAATTGCCGTTTGTCACATCCTCCCTCCTCCCTCGTCCACCCGTCCTCGTGGTTCTCCGCAGCGCGTTCGTTTTTCCGTCCGTCCGCCTGTGCTGCAAAACGAGATCGAAACGAAAACGGCCCACGAGGTCGCCAACAAAAGCCGTTCCGGCCGACCCCTGGCTGCGTGGGTCGCTGAGCCCGACGACCGTGCCCCGGGTGCGGTCCCCGCCCGGGCCCGCTCTCGAGATGCACCTCGCGCTCGCAGTGCGCACCGCTCGCGGTGGCCTCCGCCCGGGGCCGCCTCAGGCCCCCAGGGCTGGGCTGCTCCCCTCTCGGCAGCCGGCTGGCCGTGCGGGTCCCGACGGCTTGCCTGTAGATTATTCGGGTCTTCCGCGCCAGAGAACCCAAACTCCATGAATCACCACGCGAGCGCGCAATCGAATGACCTTCCAATGGCACCGGTGACCTTCCGTCACGGGCGACAAAAATGGCTAGAGAGTTGATTCTTCGGGCCGCTGCCACCCGGAACGACCGCGGCTTGCAGACCGCGCGGCGCCCTTCGGTATCGGTCGATTGGCGGGCCGCTGGCGGCGCTCGGCCTGCAGCGCCCGCACGGGGATCGCCGCCTCGTCGGCGCGGCGCGAGCCTCACTCGTCCGTGCGGGAGCGCACGGCGGCGGCGGCGGCGCGGTCAATCGCATCTGCAGGCGGATCTCGAAGGTGCGCTTGCGCCCCGCCAGGTGCCAGGCGAACGGGTAGTCCCCGGTCTCCTGCGCAAGGGCACGCATCCTTGTCTGGTTCCTCCTCTTCCTGCCCCTGCTCCCTCCTTCGTCTCCTCTCTTCCACATCTCCGGCTCCGACCTGGTCAGCCCTCTCCCTTCTGCTCCCTTCTCTCTCCCCCCCCGCCCCCCTTCCACCCGGAGGAAGCGCGGGGGGGGAGGGGGCAAGCTGGGCGCGCGTGCCCCACATGTACGACAGCCCACCACTCCCTCCCAGCCCTTCCCGAAGCGCCGAACATACGCTCAGTTGCAGCACTGGCAGCTCTCGACCCACCGCGCCCAGCATCCCAATGACGGGGGGAGACAGACCAGGAAGCCCGCCAGGTGGCCGGGCGACGCCCCAAAGGGAGGCACGGCGAGCGCGCGCGCGCGCAGTCCATGTGCACTGCGCGGGTGGCAGGCAAGCTGACGTAGAGCCTCTCAAAGCCCCCCCCCCCCCCCCCCGACGCAGCAGAGCACGAGGCGGCGGGGGAGCGAGCGGTGGGGAAACCGGGGAAGCGGGCGCTGGAGGAGCAGGTGGGGGTCTGGGCGGAGGAGGGGAGGAGCAGGCGGGGGGGCTGGGCTGGGCAGGGGGGGGGGGGAGGACCGAGGGGAATTGGGGCGAAGGGGGACGGGGGAAGAGAGCGAGGGAGGGAGGGGGAATCGAGAGGAGGGATGAAGGGGGGGGTGCCGCAGGGCTCTCCTCCCTCCTCCCTCCTCCATCCCTCCTCGGCTGCTGGACTCTTCTCCTCCTCCCCCTCCTAAGCCCCCTTCTCCCTCGTCCGCCGTCCCTGCTCCCTCCATTCCTCCTCCCTCCCTGCTCGTCCCTCGCCCCTCCTCCCTCCATTCCTCCTCCCTGCCGCGCTGAAGCGGGAAACGATCAGAACGACTACCACGAGGGCCGCAAGGGAGGGAGGGGGAGGAGGAGGAGGGGGAGGAGGAGGAGGAGGAGGGGGAGGAGGAGGAGGAGGAGGAGGAGGAGGAGGAGGAGGAGGAGAAGGAGGAGAGGAGGAGGAGCAGGAGGAGGAGGGGGAGGAGGAGGAGGAGGAAGGGGAGAGGAGGAGGACCAGCGGCCGGTCTTTGGGCTCCTCCCGCCACGGCTCGTGCGTGGGGCGGTGCATGGCGATGGCCTTGCGGCGGGGGTGGCTTCAAGGAGCTCCTCGCAGAGGTCTGCCTGTTGAAGCAAGGGTGAAGGGGCCCCAGGACACACAAATAAATACACACAAATCAAATGATTCCCCATGTTTTCCAATATTTTCTGGGTTTTTGTCTTCCCCCCCCACTTCCCATATTTTCCCATATTTTCCTGGGGATCGACGATTAATTGTGTCTGTGTGTTTTTCCTTTCCTGAAAGAAATCAGCCTTGAGAAGAGGGCCGGTCCTCCCTCTGGATCTACGGTGGCCTTCCACGGTCAATGCAAATCAGCGTCCATGGGCTGCGAGCCGAAGCGCTGAAGATTTTTCATCACCGAAGGCGCGGAGTCGTGGGAACCAGTGGCAGTTCATGGTTTCGCAGGGGGGGGGACCAGGTCACGACGGCGAAGAGGGCTCCAATGCAGTCACAGGGAGTCTTGTGGGGGTCGCTCCTCCTCCCGCCCCTTCCTCCCTCCTCCTCCTCCTCCCTCCCTCCCTCCCTCCCTCCCTCCCTCCCTCCCTCCCGTCCTTTCCTCCTCGCCGCTCGGGAGGATTCTGGCACCGCTGGAACGCCCGCCACAACAAGGCGCGGCCGATGGACACCACCGCAGGCACAAAAAAACCCACGAAAACTCATGGAGCCTCCGAAGATGTCAGAAGTCATCCCCCCTGACCCTATCCTGAAGGGGCCCTGGGACACACAAATAAATACACACAAGTAAAATGGTTCCCCATATTTTCCCATATTCTCTGGATTTTTGTCTTCCCGCCCAATTCCCATATTTTCCCATCTTTTCTGGGGAATCGACGATTAATTGTGTCTGTGTGTTTTTTTCCCTCCTGGTATCCCCCCTCATGAATGGAAGCAGCCGTAGCGCTAGCCCAGAAACCGATGAGAGACAACTGAATGGATGATCAAGCATGGATTGCAGCAGCCGCGCTGTCTTGACTGCTCCTTCGATATCGAACTCATTGACCGCACTTCTGGGCATGACATGGACTGTCCAACTATGTCCGGCCCCATCGATCTCATGATTTGTTCATGCCTTTCCCTGGGCCGGCTCTTCGTCCCGAGCCGGATTTCTACGCCCCCGGGGCCTGGCGAGGGCCCCTGGAGGCAGAAAGCATAGGACAAACTCCCGACATGTTCTTGTCGCGACGCGAGAGGGCCTGGACCTGTCATGCCCCAGACGCCGCCCCTGCCGCCAGGCCTTCACGACGCACTGCGGGTTCTCGTGCACCTCCCGGTGGCCCCTTCTGACGAGGCAGGGGACGGGCCGACGCAGGACGCCGCGGGTCCCGCGCGGGTTCCTCCTCCTCCTCCTCCTCCTCCTCCTCCTTCCTCCTCCTCCTCCGCTCCGCTCCTCCTCCTCCGCCTCCTCCTCCTCCTCCTCCCCTCCTCCTCCTCCCCTCCTCCTCCCTCCTCCTCTCCTCCCCCCTCCTCCTCCTCCTCCTCCTCCTCCGCCTCCCCTCCTCCTCCTCCTCCTCCTCCTCCTCCTCCTCTCCTCCCTCCTCCTCATCCCCCTCTCCCATCCCTCCTCCCTCCTCCTCCTCCTCCTCCTCCTCCTCCTCCCTTCCTCCTCCTCCTCCTCCTCCTCCTCCTCCTCCTCCTCCTCGTGCTCCTCTGGTCCTCCTCCCGATGCTGCTGATCCCCCCTGCGGCTGCTCGTCCTACTCATCCATATTGCTCCTCCTGGTGTTTTTCCTCCTGCTCCTCCTGATTTTCCTTCTCCTCATCATGGCTGGGCGCAGATGAGCCGCGTCGGCATCGGCAGTGCCCCTGGTGAGCCAGGGGGCCAGCTGCTGGCTGGCAAAGCGTCCGCGGCTTCGATTGTTCCCCGAAGCGAAAGTAACGGCCATCGCCCTCCTGGTCCTTCTGGTCTTCCTCCTCCTCCTCCTCCTCCTCTCCCTCCTCCTCCTCCTCCTCCTCACTCCTCCTCTTCCTCCCCTTCCTCCTCCTCTCCCTCCTCCTCCTCCTCCTCCCCTCCTCCTCCTCTCCTCCTCCTCCTCCTCCTCCTCCTCTCTCCTCCTCCCCTCCTCCTCCTCCTCCTACTCCACCTCCTCCTGCTCCTCCTGCTCCTCCTGCTCCTCCTGCTTCTGCACCTCCTCTTCCTTCTCCTCTTCCCTTCCTCCTGCTCCTGCTCCTGCTCCTGCTCCTCCTCCTCCTCCTCCTCCTCCTCCTCCTCCTCCTCCTCCTCTCCTCCTCCTCCTCTCTCTCTCCTCTCCTCTCCTCTCCTCTCCTCTCCTCCCCCCTCCCCTCCTCTCCCCGCGGTGTCCCTGTCCGGTCCCCGAGGCGCCTCCTGCTTGCGGGATGCTCCGGGGCCCATTTCCCCCAGTCGCGTCACCTGTCGCAGCCACTTTGGCCCAACTGCGCTGAGGCGCGCCCCAAATGCAGCCTGCGGGGTTGTCCAATGCGCTCCTTGCTTGCGACGCTCAGATGTGGTCGCCGAGAGGCCCCGCCAGCGGCAGCCTCAGGAGACCGGGCAGCTGATGAACTTTTGCGGTCGGATGCCCAGCACATACACACAGAGGGCAGACGCCTGCGACGCAGCCGGGACGCGGCCACTTTTACCCCGGAGCTGTTTCCTGGTGTGGGCATTCTGGAAGAAGCCCTGGACTGGATGCGCCTTGCTGCGCTTCCCCTAGATCATGCAGGCCTTGCCCCAGACCATGTAACTGCTCTCAGCCCTGGGCACACCCTGCGCATCGCCGTGGGCTCTCCGAGTACACTGGGCTGTGTGGGGATTGATGGCCGCACTGTGCGCTGGTCGGTATTCGACAACCCAGAGACGGGGATTTTTACAGCCATGACCAAGCTAGAGCTCAGCATGGTCTGTCTCCCGGGAGCGCGTCTTAGCGCTACCCAGCAGCTGCCGGGGCGAGCGGGTGCAAAGTATGGTCTTGCAGCGCGGGGAGGACCAGCATATGCCAGTGCGGCAGTTCTTTGGGACAAGGCCCTCCAGCCATTGATACACACGCGCGCAGACATTGGATCGGACAGACGGCTCTGGGTGGACACACAAACAAGCCGGGGCAAACTCCACGTAGCATGTATTTATTTGCCGCCGGTCCCGAAGCATGGGCCCGACAAGGTCTGGCACGAGGAACTGGATGGTCTTGCCCATGATCTAGATACCCTTCGTCAGCAGGCGCGCGAAGCCCAGACCTCGGTTTTGGTACTAGGGGACTTCAACATGCAGCCGGCGTGCCTTGGGGGAGGTCCGGACAGGAGCCGTTCCCGCGAAGCGCACTGGGGGGTCTTCCTCGCCGACAGTGGTCTTGTCCTCCGCAACCCGATGGTCGGGGATGGCCCCCCAAGCCGGGTGCACCTGCCCCTCCGTCGGAAGACCTTGCTGCTGTGCCCAGGGCACACGCACCATTGCGCAGGCCAGCCCCGTGCGTTAGATTTAATTCTAGGCTCACCGGGGATTGCAGGACCAGCGACGATCCACAACTCCATTCACTGTAGCTCTGGGTCAGCTTGCCGCTGGCCGGTGTGTCATGAATACACTCGGGGAGACCATTTCCTAGTTGAGATCACCCTCGAGGCACATTCTCTTGGGCAGTGCGAAGCGCTTGGGGCTCTACGGATGCCGCGATGGTGGCAAGATTCAGATAACTGGAAAATGGGCTTAGCGGCGGCGGAGCCGTGTCTCCGGGAACTCAACAAAGCCCTTCTTCTTTTGGACGACGCAGAGATGATCCTGCGCTTAGACGCCAGAACCAGCCAGTGGCTTGCTGACACAATTGCCTGGGCTCTCGCGCTCATCATCCACCTTGCTATGTCAGGCTGGGTTGTGCCCCCAGAGAGAGGTCGCCGAAGACACGTGCAGCAGGCAGGGCATAGCCGCGCTGGCCCTGAGGATATCACCTGTCGCCTCGGGTTTGGACGCGTGGAGACGCTAGCAGAAGCAGCGGCAAGTTTAGCTCGCCACATGCGCCCGCCCCAGGTCACGCCGTCGCCGTGCCTTCGGGAGGGGCCTGCCCTCCTGTCCCCGGCTGAGAGCCTCCATGCGTGGGGCAGGCAGCTACGGCGGCAGAGCGAGTGGCCGGGGCCGTATGACGAAGCCTTTGGCCAGTACCTCAATCACATCGTGCCGCGTCTTGCGGGCTTTGCCCGGGCCCACAGAGGCGCTACCCCCATGGATGCCCCGGTCACGCAGGCAGAGGTCGCACATGTGATCTCGGAGTGGGGGCACACGGATGCTACGACGCCAGATTTGATCCCCCGCATCATCCTCCAGCTTGGGAGCGGCACCTTGAACGAGGTACTGTGGCGCAGCATCCGCCTCCTAGGGCCCGGGGCCCTGGCTGTTCGGCCGGCGTCCTGGCGAGGCAGCAGTGCAGTGCAGCTCCACAAAGACGGGCCGCCAGATGAGGGCGAGAGTTTCAGGCTGATAATGATAAAAGCTCAGATGGGTCTTCTCCAGGAAGGGGTATTGTGCAACCGTCTGCGCCCCATTGTTAGGGCAGCTATCACCCCGGGCCAGAGCGGGTACATCCGCGACACCGGGGACGCACATCTGCTGCTCCACGAACTCGTGGCAGAAGCGGAGCACCACGGCCGCCCCTTGATTGCACTATTTGGGGACTTACAGAAAGCATTCCCGTGTACGTGGCGTCAAGGGCTGCTGCACAGTTTACACAGGTTGGCAGGCGTGCGCGATGGATGCTTCTTTCTCCTGCACAGCATGCTGGCCGAAGACCGTATTCACGTATCCTTCAACGGGTGCTCCACTACCCCCATCTTCCAGGGGATCGCAGAGGGGGGCACAATCGGCCCTCTGGCCTTCCCTGTCTACATGGAGGAGCTGGCGAGGACTCTGGCAGAGGCGCGGCTCGGAGTGGGCTTTGGCATCCACATGCCTGCGGCCTGGGCGCGGCACGCGTGGACGGGGGCAGGCGCGCCCAGAGAGGACCTGACGGGGCGGCTTCTGGCCGACATTCAGCAAGGGAGGCTGCTGCCATCTCTTGCAGTTCTGGAGGCCTGGCCTGACCTGGAAGCCTCGGCGCTGGAAGCGCTAGACCAGCTCGCACCGCGGCGGGTGGTGGCCGTTTTTCACGCTGATGACCCCCTGCTTCTTGCATCCTCCTGGGGCAATGCGCAGTCGTCCCTGGACGTGCTTGCGGCCTGGTCTTGGAAGTACAGGGCCTCCCCGCACACGAAACCGGCCAAGCATGCAGCAATGCTTTTCGGGGGGGCCCGGCGGCCTGTGGGTAACACAAACAGGCCCATGCTCCATCTGCGCTTGGTGGGCCGCCCGCCGGTGCCCATCCACCCAGTCGAGCAGCATCTCTGGCTGGGCCTCCGCTGGCAACACGGACAGAACTTCTTGCCCCTCCTCAACCAGCGGCTTGCGGCAGCAGGAGCACAGTGCGCCAGCCTGGCGGGCTTGGTGGCCAATGGGGGAGTGCCCCTCGCGGTGGCCATGGCCACTTTCGAGATGGTTATAGAAGGCTCCTTTCGCTTTGGTCGGTGGCTGCTGGCTGTGGCCCCTGGCGCGTCCGAAGTCCTGAATGCAGCCTACGAGGGTTGGGCGCGGTCCTTCATTGGTGCCCCGCCGTGGAGGAATGCGATGGTGGCTGCGTCGGAGCTGGGGTGGCCTCTCTCGGGAGCGGGCCGCGCTGCGGTAGATGTTGCTGTGCGCAGGGCCACACTCTGGGCGTTGCCTGAGGACGACCTGTATGGCGCGGTCTTTCGTGGGTCGCAGGCAGCCGGCCACCCCTCCTGGGCCAGGGCATCGCTCTGCCTGCTGCAGGACTGGGGAGTGGAGGACTGGCCAATCTGGAAGGCACGGTGCGCGGGTTCCCTGGCAGCATACAAGGCATACGCAAAGACGGTCATCACAGGACGCTGTCTTGCTGCCCGTGCGCAAGCCCTGGACGGCCACCCCTACGTCCAGTTGCGGCCGTGTGTGAGCCAGGATCTTGCCAAGGGCTACGCCCTTGGGCTCCCTACCTCGTGTCTGCGTGCTCAGCGGTCTGTTTCGCGCCTCCGCGCGGGCCTCCTGACCCTCACGCACCGCAACCGCAGGCGCTCATGGGCTAGGCTGCAGTACTGCATTTTCTGCGAGGCCACCTTGGCTCCAGAAGAGGGCCTCTCCCATGCTCTCAATGTGTGCGGCGCATGGACAAAGGGGCGCGCAGCCTTCGGCCAGGCCCCGGGGGTGGGCGCGGGCGCGGAGCCAGGGGCCTCCCTGGGGGCCGAACCGGGGTCGCCGGGCTACCAGCAGCTGGCAGAG